TCCAAGTGCTCCCCACTGATTCAGTCTCATTTTAGCAAATAATAAGGCCAGGTGTGTTTACACTCCTTGGCCATTAATATTCAAATCCTACATTTGGGAAAAGAATCAAATTTAACCAAGAGATAAGAAAGCCAGATTAAATCAATTATTAAATATGATTTGTGCTCATTATGTTCATTAGGTATGATTTCACCAAGGAATTTTCCCCTTTTATTTAACTCTTCATGCTTAAGTGCTGCTACCAAATGTTTTGATTCTTATTTGAATAAAAAATTACAAGGAATACCCTCTCAGACTTATTCAAATTCTCCCTTTTCAACTTTCAGCTTGTTTTACACGTTGGATTTTGAGACAGTTAATAAGACGTAATGGGGCTCTGTGTGCTCTGAGCAAAACCTTCATTTCGTACAGCTGGGCTGCAGGCAGCAAATACCCAACACAGAACCCAAAATGCCACCAAACTGCTCCTGAATCCCAGTGGGTGCCACACACCACTCATGACCCCAGCACTGCCCATTACCTGACTTCACCTCATCGGAAAGGACAAGCAGAAGTCAAGGATTGTGTTGGTTTATTAGGAAAAAATAAAAATTTAAAACAAAAAAACCCAGCATTTTTTAACCAAGCAACATTTTCAAAGTGTCTAAATTTTCTCTTTTCTCTATTTTTTTTTTTTTTTTTAATTCTATACTTTCAGAATACCTAACCACAAGCATTTGAGCAAACTAGAGAAAAGAAACTGTTGGTAATTTTCTGTAAGTTTCAAAAGACAGCAGGATATACACGCCGTTTTATGTTCTATGTATAGAGACCTACTGGCAAACGTACAGTGGAACAAAGATAGACATCTAGATAGATTCGTACCTGCCGTTCATGTGCCTATATGGAGATAGATGCTTAATTAGATAAGTAAACAATGGAAACTTTTAAAATTTGTAGTGTTGTACTAAACTCTGAATGTATCTCTTACTTCTTCAGCACAAAGGTTTGGATGGCCTCCGTGGGTGCCAGCTGGCTGCACACCCAACTCCTCGCCTGGGCACTCTGGGGGATGCTTTGGGCAGAACTGGAACACAACTAAATACCTAAATGTGAAATAAATACCTTTGATCAAATATTTCAATTAGCACGTGAAACTTTTGAGCAGAAAAATGAGTTCTGAATTGTCAAGCGAGGTGGTTGTAACATGGAAGAGCTCGAGCAGAGCTAAGGCAAGAAAGAAGGGAGACTCAGACTGATGTAAGACAGAAGTTGCTTGTGTTAAGGGCAGTGAGGCACTGACACAGGCTGCCCGGAGAGGTGCAGGTATCTAAGGTCAGGCTGGAGCACCTGATGGAGCTATGGGTGTCTCTGCACATTGCAAGGAGTGGGACCAGGTGGCCAGGAAGGGTCCCTTCCAACCCAAACCATTCTATGATCCTGTGATTCCATTTCATTTTCATTCCATTCAAGGCTATGGCAACTCAAACTCAACTTCAGGCTGCAGGACCTGAGATCCCACGAGATCCCTGCCCAGTTTCCCAGCACTGCTGAAAGAGCCATTCAGCTGTCCATGGAAATTAATCACTCCTAGCAAACTGAAAAGCAATTTGCTTATTTTTACTAAGCTTTCTTTTCCCCTCTGCTGGCAAGGCTTAAAGGAAGCAAAGATATAAAACAGAAATATTTAAGAGAACATTCATTAATTAGTAATAACTACAACATTGTGTGTTTCAAATCCCCGTCTCTCTGGGAATCATGTGTTAAATATTCATTCCAATAGTCACTCAGTTCCAAAGAGGATATATTTCTTTGCAACCAAACTTTAAAAATTAATGAAGGGAAATAAATCCAATAAAACCCAGATGATGACTCTGACTAACTCCGTTTTCTGAAAGAAATCTGATGGCTTAAAGAGCTTTCTCCTTCTCTCATAGTCTGCAGAGTTTGGTTTTAACTGTGATTGATGGCTTCTTGGTCTTTGTAACAGATGATGAAAAACACAACTTTGGGTCTTTGTAATAGATGATAAAAAGCACAACTTGGGTAAGTTGACAAGTAAATTCTGTAAAATCAGAATGGGAAGCAGACATCAACGATTAGGCTGAAGGCTTTTCCCAGCCTCCTCTTGGAAACCTGAAACTGTCTCCAAATGCAGGGCCAAATCTCCATGCAACCAGGCACACAAGTAACTGGATTAGGTCCTCGAATAGAACGTATTGTTGTGCTTCATCTTCAGCTAAATGAACATTTAGCATTCGCCAGAAGTAAAAGTTGACACTCAGATGTGAGGCCAGCTCAGGATCCCCTATTTATGCATCTCTGCAAACTTCATGTGAGCTATGAAAGCTGCACAGACTTTGTGGCAATCCCTTGCTTTATTTTATTCCAGGCTGGAGGGATAATAGTAAGTGAAAAGGAGCAAAAGGGATTAATAAATTTCCTTGCTCTTTCTAAGCAAAAGGTTACTTTTCAGTTGTAGAAGGCACTTTTCAGTTGATTGATTTCTTACTCCTGTCAAACTTCTTGGTGATTTTCACTTTCAAGGTACCCACGGGTCACTAAGTGTGTGTGCTCTAAGTGCTTTTTGTTAGGACAATCCCAGTTGTTTTAAAATCCACATCACCATCACACATCGGGTTGTACAACTCCACCTTCCCTCAGCTTTCTACTGTGATTCAGCTCCCAGCCACACTTTTTCTATCCACCCTCTGCACTTACCTTGACCTGCTGCTCCCAGTCCTGGCTCTCACCTGGCCTTGACCACTGGACCAAGAGCCCAAATTCCAAATCATGCCTTACACAGAAGCTGCCATTGACAGTGCAGGATTTCCCAGACAATATTGTGCAAATGCATACATGTATTATTTAAAAAAATAAATCAACAAACTGCACTGAATGCAATCTTTCCCAAACCCTTTGATGACGGCAATAGAAAGTGGGATTACAAGTGCTGATGTGATGCTGCTTACTTGCATTTCTCATTATTGTAACAAGCAGTCAGGCTACAGGCACTAGAAACTGAACAGCTGCTAGGGTCTGATTCTCCTCTGATTGCTACGCTGCTGCTAATAAAACGTTAAAGTACAGACAGATTCTGCCCCCAGACTTTCATATAAACACACACACACATGCAGCCCCACAAAAGGTACTCAGCAGCACTGCCTCTAGTAGCAATTAACAGGATGAGACATGAGGCACAAGATTGTCTGCTTGGGGAAAACACAGGGAAGCCGCATCAAACCACAGCACCTTTATTTCAACGGGTGCAAAATGCAGCTGTAAAGAGAACAGGAAAGAATCCGCATGGCACTGAGTCCCAAAGGCACACCCAGGCCAAGCCCAGCTCCCCCAGCACATAGACAGGAGAAGGTTAATTTTCAGCACACAACTCCGAGCACATGGCAAGGCTGGCATGCACCACCTGGAAGATCAGAAAGCCAGAAGTTCACTTGGTTTAATTTTTCTGCATTTGTAGTTTTTTTGTTATTATTGTCGCTCTGTCCCACCTCTTCTCTCTCTCTTTTTTGGGTCCTATATAATCATTAACTGGAAAGAGCTTTCTCTACACGTTTCAAGTGGCCTTTGGAAGGATGTCTTCCCATAGCCCTTGAAGTTTCCACAGAAATACATTTCTCTCTCCTATCTCAACAATCTTTTTGCTTCAACAAGAAGTTTATTTTTTCTCTCCCCGCTCTGCTTTTTTAGCAGCCCCCCACATGGCCACGAGCCGCCACTCAGAGACTTTCCATCAATCTGAATGAGCTTCAGCTCACACTTTGGGTTCAAACGTTTTCTGCCCCTTTCTCATCTTCAGATCCCTTTACCACAATGCTTCCTACCCACACAGAAGCTTGTTTTTATGAGCTGGAAATCTCATGAGACAGCGGCTCTCAGGCTGTTTCCAGTTCCCAAAGAAGGCAGTGCTTGTGCCCTCAGAGGGTTTCAGTAACTCCCATTCTGAACTGGCAAGAACTATAATTTTTCAGGCATGAAAGCGTCTCATTTCATCAGGTTTAGGTAGAATAGTTGGAGCTGTTTGGCCACTTTTAGCTCTATATGTTCCATAAGGTTTGAGTACATCTTCAGCACAGGTGCCAAAGCCAGTACCCATTCCCAGTCACATCCAGAGGGTGAGCATCAGCTACTCACCATCAAGTGGACACATCAAGTGAAGGTCTGCAGGAAACTATCTCAGTTTTGTTCAGTGCTTTTCCTAAAATCAGGGATGATCAGAAGAAAGGAAATCTTTAGCTTTGCAGATGATAGGACTGTGGAATTCCCTGCCAGTATATTGAAGGGCAAGACCAAAGTTCAATATGATCATTACAACAGAAATAACAACAGAGGTAGTTCAACATGGGCAGGATAAGCATTACAAAAAAAGGAGTGAGCACCAATAGACACCAGCAGTTGCACCTCATGAAAAGATGGTAGTGAACACAATGCACAGGTGATGCGATGGAGGAGGACAGATTTCAACCTTGGCAGGAAAGACTCAAAAAAACAAACTTCAGGGAAACTCTCAAGAGATAGGGATGTCCTGAAACAGCCTGCATGGAGGAGATACGAGTTCCCATCATGAGAAGTCTGTAAGAGCAGATTTCAAGTTTCTCACTGGAATGACAGTGGACGTTTTTCCTGCAGTGGTTCAGGGGATGGGCCAGCAGACCTGAGAAATCCTTCCTTTGCTCATTAAATAGCTGGCCATGGTTAGGTTTTCTGGGAAGATCAAAGCTAGCATTTAACCAAGTACAGTGCAACTGCAGATCCACGGATGTTATGATACAACTTTCTGGATTTTTAAACCCGCAACAATAGTTAGTGGCCAACCTTGCCTGGAAGCTCCACCGAGATGATGCAATTCCACTCTGCTGACAGAAGTCTTTGGTGGGAACGGGGAAGAGTCCACTTTGATTGTTTTTCACTCCCAAAGCTACAGATTCACCCAGGAATTGGCTTAGTTTGAGTGAGAATGATGGAGCTCCAGTGACACTAAGGGATTTCCATGGCACATTTGATCTCATGATTTCTTCTTTATTTTTTTCTAACAAAACAAACAAACCAAAAAGATCTAAGACACCTGCCAGTGCCACATCAGCTTACTTCCAATCCTGCCCCCATCTGATCATCCTTTACCCCATCCTACCACCTCCAGAGCTGAGCTTTGTTGAGAAGAATGCTCAGGTTTTGTCCAAGAAGGGAGACAGAATCCCTCCCTCCCACATGACATCCATTCCATGTCAGTAGAGGGAAGATCACAGCTGAGATAAGCTCTTATACAAACACTGAAGGAAATGAAGACATTAAGCAGCAAAACAATGAGTAACAAATGCTAAGCAGGCACAGGACAGCATTTAGGTGAAGCAAAGTCTCTGCCTTCCACATACATCCTTCCCTTATTCTGTTCAAAACAGGGCAAGGCAAAGGTACACAATCAGCAGAACTCCAGCCAGGAGCAAGCCATTGTAATCCCAAACCCTGGGCCACATCCTCACATTCTGGCATTCATTTACCCAAAGGAGGGTCTGCCCACACACCTCAGTCACCATCTGCCTCATTGTTCTCAAAGGGCTGCTGCGTGCACGAGGTTCATTCGAGTTTTGCTCCCTTAGCTCTCTTGATATTTACTTACACAATTATTTCATGCAGACTTATTGTTCAAGCCTTTTCTTTTGTTCTTGTAAAGATTAACTTCTTAGAAACGAGCTCTGTCGGCAAAGCGTTTTGAAACGTAATTCTCTGGTGGTGGTCTATTTTCAGCAGTGACATGCTTGGTGGTCATTGTGCTTTACTGCTAGCACTTAGTGGTTTTAAAAGTTGTTTTCTGTTCTATGTATTAACATATTTCGTTTACTATAAAAAGACTCCTAAACATACATTTCTCCAGCCTTCCTTGCCCATTACAGAAAGAAACCCAAACGTTATATCAGAGACTAAGCCAAAGTCAAGTCTCAAAAAGTTTTTACCCAAAAACTTTGCTTGCAGACTCTCTAACCATTTATTTTCCGGATGAGCTTAAAAGCCCTTAAAACAACAACTCAGGCACAGCCACCACACCCCATCAGACACACACTGCATTTCCTTATTGTTAAGACAACAGCAAGAATCCCAGCACGTATGAGACATGCACAGTGAAAGCACCGACCGTGTTCTGCACTCAACACACAATATCGATGGAAAATAAACAGTCATTTAAAAAGCAAGCTGCATGACTTCGAGCTGTGCCTCAGCAACTGCTGCCGCTGCAGCAGGGCTGTGCAAGCACAGCTTTCAGCCTTTCAGAAAAGGATTTTTAAGTGCTTAGGAAAAACTATCTGTCTTCAGCCATCAATGCTTTATTCTGGGCCAGTATTTACCAGCAAGCAGTATGTGACGTGCTGGGCTCCTGTTTGCAGGGCAGAACTGAGATAATGGGCTCAGCAGGGTCTGTGCACAAAGCACAGCTCCTGGGCTGTGTCCATGGGCAGCAGGGCACCGTGTGCAGCTGAGGCATCGTCAGAAAATGATATTGATAAATGGGAAAGGGTTCAGAGCAGAGCTAGCAAAATAACAAAGAGCTGGGGTGGAATGAATGGCAGAGGGGAGATTAAGGAATTGCATATATGTGTCTTTGACCAAGGGAAATCATTTGGGATATCTGACAGGTATAAGCTCAGAGAAGAGGGAAGTGGTCAGGCTGGGATGGATAACTGGGAGTAGAAGCAGCTGAATGAAACTTAGGCTCAATACAGGAAAAGAAAATTAGGAAAGAACATTAGAATATAAAATAGTTTGGGGCAAAAGGGTCATATGCAGAAACTCCTTCACTGGAGAATTCAAAGACAAATATTTATTAGGATAAAACCCTAATAAATATTTGGTAAAGGGCTCAGTCTTTGTGAAGTGGGGACACTGAGTGACCCATTAATGCTTTACCAGCTTCAGGATCTAATGCTCTATTTACACCTGAATACAGTGTGAGGGATGCGACGCAGTAAAGTCGAACACATTCACTTTTAAGGCAGCCTTTCCTCAGGGTCTCTGCATGGCCAGCTTCAGGCAGCTCCATGAGCTCCAGGACATCTGACCAATACTGCCACAGCAGCAGCAGTCCTGCACGGGTAGCAGCATTACTCCAAACAGCAGCCAGAGAGCAGGAGGAGCTGCCACATGCTCTCCTCTCCCCAAAAGAGTGAAGCTCTGGAGCAATGCACGCCACTGGCTTGTTCTCCCTTTGCCAGAGCTTACATCTGCAACACAAAAAACACAGTACTCTCATATTGACATTTACTTCAAGAAACAGCAGGAGAGCTTCCAAAGCAACCACTGGACAATGAGAAAATGTAAGGAGCTTCCACAACAGCAAAGTCTTCTTTCTGATCCCAGAGGCCTCCAGCTCGGAATCTTCTATTCAAGCACAGAACTGCAAGACATCGTGGAGTTAAAACCAAGCCTTGCATCAAGATTAAACACATCTGTTATGAAAACTTGCTGTATTTTGCATACATGATTCAATAAAGAGACTCAGTGGGATAATTGCTTTGCCCAGGTTATTAACCAGAATTTTCTTTACTTTTTTTTTTTTCCTCATTACTCCTTAGAATAATGTTTAAGGTAAACAACTCATAATTGTGTAAGAAATGCAGTAAGTGGAATGCTCCATCCTAAACGTTCATTCCCGGATATTATGTACTATTACCAAAAGTCAGCATAGGAAATGAATATTTCAAGAAGCTAAAGCACACAGCGCATGCAAAACATACAAGACCCACTGAACATTAAGTACTGAATACCAAGGGGCGAATGAGATTCGTACAAGCGCGGAAGGCGCTGAAGGCGTGGGCAGAGCGAAGCGGGTGGGATGAGCGGGGGCTGCGCCCGAAGCGCTGCGGCGCGGGGAGAAGCCGCCTCCACCTCCGGCCGCCAGAGGGCGCTGCAGCGCAGCCCCGCCGAAATCGTATTTAGATCCGTGAGCCAACAATTGTGTTTTGGAAAGGAAACGCAGGTTGCAAGAGAACAGAGCGAAAAGAGCGGTGCAGGATACTGCTTTAGTCGAACTTCAGAGCTCTCCTGCCCAGGTGAAACATAGGATTTTTAAAATATTTGAGAAGCTAAGAAGCTGTGATCAAAGAAGGAATACAGCACAAAAAGATGGGCTGATGTAGACTTTAAAGCCCAACATCCAAACTAGTAAAGCTCTACATTGCCATCCATTTGCAAGTGACTGCATTTAGTGCATACCAGAGCCCCTCTGTTTGGACCAGAGCATAGCAGAATCCAGCTCTGAACAGAACCATGTAGCACCTGTAGTTTTGCCTGGGCTTGGCTCAGCAGAATTCTTGGAGCACACTTGCCAGATCAAGTGCTGGCTATATGCCCCTCACCTCTGAATTCTGCTATAAAAGAGGACTGGGGCAAACCATCCTGAACCAGAATCTGATGTCCACTGCCATGTTGGGAGAAAGGTGCCATTCTGCCAAAAGCTCAATCCATCACGTCGCTGCAGAGCCCTGCCGGTCTCAGCCCTCCCATACAGCCAGGCAGAGCTTTGCCTACTCAGCATGCTCTGCCAGGGCAGCTGTGTGAAATAACCACCTCAAGTCCCAGTGTTGCAACAGTCCACATTCTTGAGCAACTGTCACCTGACCTTAGAAACTCCTGGAGCTGTATGATGCCCTTCCCATCACGTTGATGGCACAGAAGGTATCCAGCAGTGCTTTTGAGAAGGCCACTTCCCAGCAGGGTTTTGTTAAGGGTAACCAGCTGAGCACCCACAAAGGATGAGGCAGATAACTGGGAATGCCACAGCTGAAGCTGAGAGTGACCACTAGTCAGCATTGCAGGCTTCCGACAGAAAACACATTGTTTTCTGCTATGTGGACAAACAGGTTGTACTCATTACCACATATAATCATTATTATTTATGCTCTACAGACATCAGAGTTTTGTCTTTAAATGAATTTATGGAGGGGGGGGGGGAAGGGAATAAATCACAAAGCTGAATAATCCCTTTAATTACATGCTTAAAAATCCTGAATGGAAGAAATTAGGAGACACAAAGGAATCAACGTAAACTAATTATTCCTTGTTTTGCAGCTAACGTATTTCTATGGTAACACCACTATGGTCTTCGAAGAAATTAAATGATCTTTTAAATCAGTTCATCAGGAAAGCCACCCAGCAAAGCCACAAAACAAAGACCTTTCAAACAAGTCTAGAGATGATGAAGGAGAAAAGCACGCATTTTCCCAGCTGTTGATCATTAGAGCTATGAAACTGCATTTTCATTAAAACCACTGAGGAGATTCTCTCTTGTTGCTCTGCGGGAGGTTGGTGGCTGTGTGCATGGGTGCACACACAGAAGAAAGGAGAGATGACTTCTGTACAGTGTGCCAGCAAAGCAAGGTGAACAGAAGGCAAGCAGGTGTGGTTTTGTTGTGTTTTTGAGAAGAGTTGCACTTTCTGCTCACGTATTTGTTGAGGTTGAACATTTTCAACCTAGTTCTTAACACAACCTCAATTTCCCTGTGCAATTTTAGGTAGAACACGCAGTGTTCCAGCTCTGTCTCTCTGGTATGTGGAGCCATGTGTCCAACAGACAAGAGAGATCTACCATTTCAGTAGGTCAGCTGCACATGCAAAGCACTGCCATACTCAGTAAAGACCAAGTTTACACATTTCTCTCTTGAATTGTAGGAAATTAATTAAAACCATGCACTTAAAACCTAAACCAGGCTGTCATCGGCTTTGCATTATTAAAGTTCAGCTCAAGGGGTGCACTGCCAAAGGAATAATTCAACCAGAATGGACCACGAAGCAAGCAGATTTGGGCTCAGTGGGAGGTTCGCCTCTCCAGGCTGCACAGAGCTTGTTAGCCAAGCAGACAGCTCATGCAAACACGCCTCACTCCTCTTTTGTCTGCACCACCAAAACCAATGGCTTCCCCTATCACATCTGTGGCCATGCTGGCAGCTACAGATAAAGAGATGAACAGAATAGCCTCATATGGAGGGATCCTCAGTGTTCAGTTAGGAGGAAAGTCCCTGCAGCTGAAGGGTTGGAACTCTTTCATAGAATTTTTTTCCTCCTCTTGGGCACTTCTGCTGCCATTCCCCTATGCCCACCCTCCTCTAGTGCTGTGAACAAAACAGGAACTTAACTGCAGAACACTGAACTGAATGCTTGCACGCTCGCTTTGTCCCTGTGCAAGCATGAGTTGTCACAAGCAGCACAAATACCCATCCAGCCAAGTGTCAGCAGGGACATGAAGGCACTGCTACCTGACACGGGGCTTCTTTATCTCCAGCTTCACTCCTTTACTTGGATGACTTTTGCCACAGCTTTGTAAGGACAAAGACACGTCACAAATCCCAGACGCAGTCCAGCAACAGATTCAGAACAGTTTCATTCCTGCCTTCAGTTAACATAAGATTATTAATATTCTTAATAATAGCAATAATCACTCCTATTAAGGCAATCTGTTGGCTTTGGAGAACAGGTTCCTGTTTTCCTCAGGATCTAATTTTAGAAGCTTTTGGGGACTACGTAAACTCTTGAGCCAGAAACAAACATAAAACCAACTCAGATTGTTTAAAGCATGGGGTGGGTGATGAGACCCAAATACCCTGAAGTGAGTCCTGCAGATCTGCAGAACAAAGTACAGCACAAGAGCCCCCTGGGCCTGGCTGGGCTGCTACTAAGAGGAAAAGCTTTCCCAGCAACTTGACAAGACGACAGCAAACTTGTGGGAATGACCAACATGGGACACCAAACCTTGTCAAGATATGGGAAAGGCAACAGGGATAAGCATACAGCCATGTGGGGAGCTCAGCTGATGGGGAAGCTCACTCCCATTTGACACAAGACACAGCTCTAGTTGCTTTTCTAGTCTGTTTTCCTCAAAAGATAGAGCAGCTTTTTGCACACTGAAACGCATTCATAATACCCAGTCCATTCACATTGTCTTTTTCTTTCTCATTATACCAGAAAAAAATATCAAAAGCCACTCAGCGTTTGCATCACACTTCTAACAGACAAAGGAGCAGAAACATCTTCAAGACTTTTTAGCTCATGATTCTACAGAGCACTCCAGCAGCTTAATTTACTGCACATGAGTAGTATGCTGCTCCAGCGGGACCACATAGATGATTAAAAGAATAAATGCAATTGTCTCCATAGATCAATGCCGTAATTTATTCCTCCCTGAGTATCAGATGGATCCTCATAGCCTCTTTGATAAACTCATGCAGTGTAAAACATTGTGATCCAGGCTATAAAGCCACCACACTACAGCAAATCTCTCAGATGCATATAAACATTGTGAATCAATTATTTTGTTCCTACTGCACTTCTTGTTTCTCTTTGCTTGTTCCAGAAGACTGTACATAACAGAGCTCCTAAAAGCAACCCCTCACCTTTTCCAAGGGTTTCCTGACTAATTCCACATTAGAAAACACATTGATCGGGGTCAGACACCTTCAGCTGGAATACATTTTCAAGACTCTGGAAATACAACTTAAGGTCCTTAAATTATACAAGAACTTTGCAGAGGAACAACATGGCACCAAATCAGATACAGGAGCTGTTTTTGCTGAAAGATGGTGGCTGAAATACAGGTTTTTCTGAACTCTGTGGACCCTCAGACTCTAAAGATCAGCTTCCTTCAGAATAGCTTTAGTGGCCTCACAGCAGTGACCCTACAGGAAAAATAAATGAGTATGTGTTGTTCGCTGAAGGCGAAGGCATGTTTTGCACACATGATGTCACTCTTGCAACTCAGGAGGAACTAATTGCTTGGCTTGTTGTAGCCTCATACTCGTTGGGCTCACTTGCAAATTATAGTCGTCTGGAGAGCTACAGCATGTCATCAGCACACAGCTATGTTGTCTGAAGCGTAATTAATATCTGCCTTTCTTTTCAAGTTCCTTATTTACCCTCTTTCCCCCATGACAAATATGTTAATGACCTCTCCAAAACCCACAGGTTGTCATTTTCAAAGAGCCCCTGTCTTTCTGCCTTGAGCTGAACACTTGAGACTAAATCACAGTGAGCCTGTTCCTGCCCCCATTAAAGCTGCTGAGGGTTTTTCAGTGACTTCAGTGTAAGCAAACTCTCACAGACTCTAATGGGAGCTGGACCACAGGCCTATTTTACTTTGCACCTTCAGCCAGAGGTTAAAAAAAAAAAATAAACCAAAAAACAACACACCAAACAAACAACAAGGATTGTCCTACAAGTCTGCAGGATTTGGGGTTGAATCAAGTGCCCAGGGCAATGCCAGGATCTCAGATCATTCAGTCTCATGAGTTGCCAGGCTTTGTTGGATTTGATCTGAAATGCTATCCCTTTTGCCTTTGGTTTTGACCAGTTTTGAGGATGGGTTTTAAAAATATCATTTCAGTTTTTCAGCACAAGTTACCTACTTAGCTGATTCTAAGTACTTTCCTGCAAAGGGTAAAATATTTCCCAGATTTGAGTATAGCTTCATGTGAAAATAAGCATAGACAGCATGTCTGCAGCAATAACTGTACTGGTAGCCCAATTCAATACTGTGGAACATCTTGATACCAGTTTATAAAGTACTGCTTGCACTCATACAAGGACTTGAATAATTCTCACTGCATGACTCTTACATACATGTATATATAGATCAGTATCTTTACAAATGAGTCAGATTTAAAAATAATAAATGTATTTACACTAAAAACAGAAATAGGATCTCCTATATTTAACTACCCGCATCTGTATTCTACTTTTCCTTTTTTATTAAAAAAAAAATCCCCTGCTTAAATCATCTGCCAAACAGCAGAGATCTCCATACAGCTGAAAAATACTATTTCCACTACTACAGAACTGTTAGTTTCATATGTGAATAAGGCATTTCCCTTCCCAGGATTTAAACACATGGCAAGTCCCCACGCCGTATTTATTAAGTTGTCACACGTCTCTACCCCACTGGTTAGCAAGGTGGATCTTCAGGAATTCTTAGCACACTTCTAATGTGAACATACTTGCAGGTAAGAATGTATAAGATGTTATACCTTTCTTCTTTTGTACATGGTGTTGTAAAATAGATGTTCAGACATTTTTCTAAATTGTTCTCTTCTTTCACCTCCATGCAATCCCCTTCTCCCTTAGCTTCTAAGCTTGCTTTCTACCTGGCTATATTCTGATCCCAGAATTAGCTGATATATGGCACACTTCTTGTCGATCTAGAATGACTTGTGATGATAGTCCCAGGAGGGTCTGCTCATACAAGCCACTGCTCATATCTGTTACTGTTGGCCTCAGACGCGTTGCAGACACACCAAATGCAGTGTATTTGAGAGTGAAAATTATATTTGAGGGACAGTGTTAAGATCTGTGTACCACTGCAGTCTCAGCTAAGCAAAGATAAACTTTGCCTTCATTGAGCACCTTTCCTCAGTCAGAAGCATCAGACTGTTCTATAAGTTTTCCAAAGCATGGGCATGGCCAAGAGAGACAGAGCAGGGGAAGGACCATAAAACATAATGACTCTGCTACCTCAGCCAGAGTCAGACTGCAATAATTTAGGAAGCTTGCGGCCTGACAGAGGTACAGAATTATCCATTCCAGCTCAATTTCTTTTTTTAATGACTTGATTCCTGCTTCATGATGGCTTAGACGCGTTTCTTCAGCATTATTTTAAAAGGTTCCTGCATTTGTCATTTATTAAAGAAACTCTCTGCATTTAAAAACATTTATAATTTTATGAAGTGTGCCAGACTCTGTACTAAGTCCAATGGATTTTAGTGCTCCTTTCTCTTCTAGCAACAGCAGAGCAAGGGTTATGATTTGATTCCTGGGTTCTTGTCTTCTTTTTTTGGTATCATCACTGACAAGCTACATTTGACACCTCTGTGTCTCAGCTTACCTAGTTCATAAATGGGCCCAGCAACACCTCTGTCACGTGGTGTTAAAAGGCTGAGTTAATTGCTGCTCATAAATCACATTGCAAAGAGAAATATATATATATGCAAAGCAGTTTTGATGACGTAATAGAATTGCATTGCTTTTAGATGCAATTAAATTGTTAGGAGATTCATATTTCTTGTACTACTTTACAACCCATTAGCATCAAATATTACTTCCAGAATACCCAAAACCTAGGTACAATATCTGCCATTTGAGAAGATGCTAACCAAGACACTCACTAGGGAAGATATTGGAACAGGAACATTTTTCTCCCTCCTTCTCCCATTGAAGTGGAGCAATTTTTGCATTCATTTTAAATGTTGTAGGACCTGAATATATTCCCCATTCCTACTTTGCTTTGAAAAGCAACACTGCCACTTTGTAAGACAAATCCTACATTTAATAGCTCAGTTATAAACAAATGCTTCTCCTCCCTCCGCTTAACTAGCACACTGGGCTGCTGAAGGATTTAAAATGAGGCACCTTCACTTTGTGAAGTGTTTTGAGATCTGCCAAGTACAAAGTAACACTAAGATTACCATTTTCACTTTGATTTTTTTCTCTATGAACCACTTGCTATCATCTACAGCTGCTTTGTGGACTAGGCGCAGATAAGGGGTTTAGGCATGAATACCATACATTTCAGGATATCAGACACACAAATGTAGCTCGCAGTGCAGAAATAGGATCAAGCTATGAAGTTTGGATTAAACAAGAAATTTCCTATTAGAGACTGCAATGATTTTTAAAGCCTTCCTTTTTTTTTGCTGCCCACTGGAAAGATGAAGGAACACTATGTAGTTTTGATACAAGTCCAGAATTCAACAGTGAAAGAGTGAAACTCTTTACTTGTTTTTTATCTAAATTTCAGCTCTCAGTTGTAACTGAAGTGGACATTTTCTGTGCTTCTATGCTGCACCAAGGTGGCACGAAGAGGCACAAGAGAGGGGAGAAAGCAGAAAAGACTCACCAATGGAGGAACCTACGATGGTGCAGCTTTGTTTCCTACACATTTCTCCTGCTGCTCCGGTGAGCTGAACACTCCCTTCGCTCCAAGCAGACAGCATGCACAGCCACCAGCATCCATCAGAATCCCTGCCGAGCAGTTCAGTCTAGATGTAGCTTCCAACCACACAGCAGTGACAAAATCCCTGAGAATTACTTGTTTGTGGAATCATCCCACTCTTCTCCATTCCCAGGGCAGCTTACCTGTCCTACCACTAAAACAGGCAAGCGAAGATTTTAGCACTGGTTCTTTCAAGGTCTGGGTGTGCTTGGCAAGGGAAACCTGAGGTTTGCTATGAGGAGGTCTTTTTCTTAAATCTTACATGTGGGAAAATAATAATTTTTGAAGTGACTAATGAGGTAGAAATACTTCACCTCCTTCACAAAACGAACCTGCTGCCTCGGGGATTGCACTCATTTCAGCAGAAAAAGCCAAGTGAGGGTTTCTTCACATTTTAGCTGCCTCCTGGCACCCTACAAACAAATAAAATGACAAAATTAGATCGTATTCATCTCATACTTGGAATCAAGAGAAAACACGGGTACTTTGGATGGCCCAAATTCTGATCTGGATTTGAAGTCACAGTTTTTCCGAGGGCTGGACTCTGGGTATAGCCACCTCTGTGCTAAAGAATGCCAACAGGGAGGCAGGTAACATAAATCATACATGACTACAGGATCTGGCCCTCATTTGGGGGGCAGAACACTGTAACTGTAATTGCTCTTGCAATGAACAGCCGATGAATTAAAACAATTAGTCACTTCATTTAACCTGTTGTTAGCTCTGCCAACGTGAGTTTACAGAAGTCGCTGGACTGCAGGCAGACAAAAAAATTAAGGTATTTGATTAGAAAAAAAAAAAAATCACGAAACTTACAAAAAAAAAAAAGCTTTGAAACAAACAAGTGAAGACATCCTTGCTCCTCAAGCAGGATGGAGGCCATGGCCGTCCTGCGCCCCCGCCCGCCCCACAGGCGCAGATGGCGCCCAGCAGGCAGCGTGCTCCCAGTGAAGGCCTCAGCTCCACACCCGGCCAGGCAGCAGCCGGTCCACAGCAGGCAGCATCACACATCACCAGAAACACCTCGTCTGTCTGCATTTAGCCTGCTTGGCATCCCAAGCAGGGAAGAAACACAGCACAGGGCTGGTTTTGTCTCAGTTTCTTCCCGCCTGGCCAACTGGCTGTCAGCCATCTTGTCTTTAGGTCCAGCACCGGGGCTGGAGGGGAAGGGTGGCCACTTTGCTGCCATCAGCCCCACATGCAGCACTGCACGCTCACCACAGGGCACACAGCTCTGGGAGGTGGGAGAGGACTGTGGCCATAGAATCATTAACACTGGAAAGACCAATAAGATCATCTTTCCAACCATCAGCCCATGCCTGTGACCACTCTAGTCCACATACAGTTCAGTCACAACCAATGTGACAGAAGGAAAAGTGTTTCACAATGGATACCCCTATTTTAATAAACAAGATGATCCTAACGTCATTTCAAGATGGTCAGATCTGTGTAATCATCAGCTACATTGCCCTGGATTCTCCAGTGTCCTTTCCTTTCATCTCTACGTTTGAAAGCCACTGTGGTCACATTCCCCTGGACTGACTGACTAGTCTAGCAGATTACCAATGAGACTGGTTAAAAACAGATTAATACCAATAATCTGAAAACAAAACAGCCTGCCAAAGGGGAGAATTGAGTCTAAATTTAGCCTTGCTTCAGTTCACAAGTCAGAATTTCATTGCACTTCATCCCATGTGAACAGAGATCTATTGCACAGAACCCCTACACATTCACATTGAGCACAGAAGATTGTTATTTAAAAAATCCACTTTTGCTTTTTTTTTTTTTAACAATATCAATAGTATAAGAAAAGCTTAGAAACAGACTTGCACCAGGCTGTGACCAACATTTTACAAATAACCTCTGTCTAAGCTTTACTTCCCCAGTACATGAAGTGGAAGTTCTCACGTACTTTCACAGCAAAGTATCCGAAGAGCAGCAGGTGTAAAGTGCTGGGCTAGACTTTCACATCTTGGTGGCTGGGGCATTTTTCTTTGTTTGTTCATTTAAGGGATTGTTGTTTATTTGTTCTTTAAAAGAGTGGCAAGTTCAAAATGTTCAGTGGTCATACAGAGAAGTCTTTGTTATGTCCTAAACAGGATCAGTTAACAGCTAAATGCAACTAGTGACTCTTCGCTTCAATTGGACCATCTCAGATACCATACAATATCTTCTTTAAGGATGGTTCAGATTATTTCATCCTCTTCCTAAATGACACACACTGCTCAAGGAAGTCACATCCAGGAGTATGAACTGCGGAGTGCTTGCACATGCCATATGCTCAAGTAGCAGAAAGGAGCCTTTCTAAGGTTCCTCAGTTTGAGAGAACCCCTCTGAATCTCCAGTCTACTTGGTTCTCCAGGAAGTTGTGCTGAATCTCCTCAGCAGTGTTTTAGTTGGCGCTGTGAGAACATCCTGTCATCACTCCCCTTCATTTTCTAGCTTATCTCTCCAAAATCACAACACTTAGTTCTCTAATTATTTTATTTGGCAACCTAGAAACAAAGGCAATTGCAGTGCTTGCCATTAACTTGTGAAGAAGGACAGAGGACCAGATCGTTTGGAAAAAGAGAGAAATCAGACCATTATATCCTAGTAATACTCAATGAAATCTCTAGAGGAAACACGTGGTTGTCCATGAAATATTACGGGAATCTTTGAAAGCCATTTTCTTTCAGACCCATACTCCAGTACTATAAAAGGGGCATGGTAATGCTGGATCTGCTGTGTTCCCTAACGAGATGTTAAACAAATGTCTTTGCCACATGTGGTCATTAAAGATTTGATGTCAAGATGAAAGGTGTTAACCTTGGAAACCTGGCCAGACTCCAACAGGAATAATTACATTCTGCCTCCCTCAGCAGTTCTCTGTAGAGTTTCAGCTGGACATTTCAGATCCAAAACCGTTAGGCAGCCTTGCTGTGAGTGGCCTAAGTATTTTGTGTAGTTACAGCAACAACTCTGATAGTCTACATCAAGTACCCATAGTATAGAGCTGCAAACCTTAAGGCAGCAACAAATCACATCATGGAGAAACTATTTCTGTCCTTGTGTATTGCTGCAGCCCTTTTACATGCAAGTAACCCTAGGAATGCAGAGAAACCTACTATGCAGATAACTGTTATGGGATGATCCTCTTCAAAAGGGGGAAATTAAAAAGAAAAAAAGGTGGTATTTTCACTCACACTGACAGCCTTGGAAGAAGAGCACTGATACAGGCTGAAGTTGGTGTTTTAGTGCGGTTAAATTTGCATTCTCTGATCATTCCTCATAGAAGCAGTCCTGCCTTTATCTGTTACGGGAAAATGTTGCAGTCTTTAACACCATTACCAAGCATAAGCGTATATTCATAGCCTGGCCATTGGATGCTACCTGTGCATTGAGTGCTGTCACACTGAGACCTGCTCTGCAAGAAGACTCTCTTCTAAAGGAGGGTTCCCTGGAGGCAGTATCTGCACTGCTGGGCAGATGCTCCCTGCAGTACACCCTGCAATCTTCATCCTTAGGTATACACCCTTGCCCCGCATTGCCTCTGTTAGAGGAGATCTGCATGCAAACCCTTCCCCCATGTGCTCTGGTTTCCTTTGTTTGGAAGCCAGGGCGTGCATGGGGATAGGAGCCAAGCAGCATGCCAAGATGAGGCACAGCACAGTGGGCAGTAATGACCCACAGCTGCAGTACTGCCACCTGCATCCACAGGTCAAGCAGAAAGCAGCACTGAGAGCATTATGCACATTCCCCAACTATTGACAAGACCATTGTTATTACCATCCTCAACTTCACCAAGTGCATCTTTTCCTTCCAAAAGGAAATCATATTTTAGCTAATGCAGAAATGAAACCTGCAAGTCCCAGACTGAACAATATTAGTTCCATGCAAAATCCTGATACAGAGATTCACTGAAGTCTGTCACAAAATTGGTGATGTTCCCGTGGCTTCAAGAACTGCAAACTCAGACAGCATAGAAAGACACTAAAGTCCATTCACCTTCATCTGAATATGAGATGAGAAGTCCTTATTTATGTTTGAAAACAAAAAAGTTATGAGCCCACCAGATCTCATATTGTTTGCTGTGATATCCTGAATGCATACATTTCAGAAGGCTTAATACTACACAATAACCAGAACCAGTGTCAAGCTCTTTTTAATACTAAGCTTCTGAAGCTGCAAAGAACACCAAGGATCCTTTTCAGAAATTTTCCCAGTGTTCAACGTGCAATTTATCAAATTCCCTTTAAGCATTCATCACACCCATGCAAATGATTTATGCTTCCCTACAGAAAAATTTGTGTTTGATCACAATGACAACTTACTGCTGCTATTCCATATCAAGCACATTATGGAGTTTCAGACCTCAGAGCAACGCTTAAATCACATCGAGGAAACCTATTGAGATGAATATCCATTCCTGCAGCCCTTATGCCTCATGAACTCAGCAAGATTTACTTGTCAGCAAGGTCTGCAGGACCGAGACCATGCTTTTCAGAAATGAGTTGTTAATCCCAGAAAGGATTATCACATTAGAATATAAGCAAATGCTTATCTCAAGATTATTGTTACAAGAAAGGCACTTTGATTATAAACTGCAGTTTTAACATTTAGGAGTCACCTGTCCTGCAAATACACATACACTAATTTGTCTATGAAATCCCTGGGAAACCACAAACAGGTTTTAGGATCTGCTGATCAGTGTAAGTAGTCTGACAGAATGGTTTCAGCAAATAAAAGAAATGCAAAGTACTGAAACATACCTAGAGGACACAGTCTTCTGTCTGAGCGAGATTGCAGGCTGAGACCCAGGGAGCTGCTTATTTGTGTGGAACTGCTTGTCCCAATCAATCCATGAAGAAAACTAACATCACACAAGTCATGCATTTAGCAGGCAGCATTTGACAGCAAGGAAACAAGCTGCAGCACAAAAGATCTCCATGTATTTTAAGTCTTCATCCCAAACTTACTTTTCATACAACTCATCTGCAAGCTGTGATTTACTAAATCCATCTGTTGTTTCTCCAGCTTGCTTTCTGGAAACACTGCATTTCAAGGGTCTGCTTGTTAGAGAAGGTCAAAGAGGAAAGCAGGCCCTCACATTTTAAGGGACTTGAAAGAAAAGGAAAGGAAATTTATATTTAGAAAAAGGAATGATTAACTAGGGGAAATATATTACAGTATTAAAAAAGTGACATAGAATAGTTCCTACTTCCAATGAGGCTGACTTCACTTCAAGAAAAATATTTATATACAAATATAATAAGCTGAGGAATGCTAACCTATACTGAGATGAAAGCATCTCATAACATAACTCACATTTAGACTATAAAATGGATAATCATATTTTTATGTGTTTTTTTTTTCCTTGTCCTTCTAAAATCTCCGCTTCTTCTCCAGTCACCAAAACTTCTACCCACTTCTGGTTGGTACCACAGTACCTCATGTAGCTGCACTCCTCCCACCACTCCAAAGTCTTCAGAAACGAGTCATCTGCTGCTCCTGCATTGTCCCAGGGTCCACACACAGCACAAGCAGGCAGTGAACAGATTCACAAGTCAGCCCAGAAACTCCAGGATGTGTCTGCAGCCCCATTGGCGCACTCAACTTGTTCTAGCACGGGGAAGATCACATGCCACAAGCAATGCAGTCACCACAGCTGGGAACAGTAAGCACTGAGCCTCCTGCCTAAATACTCTGCAGCTGATGCCATCATTGCACAGGTGTTAGCATCTGTATTACTGAAGAGTCACAACCTGCTGCAGTCATTCTTCAGGACTGTGGGGTGGACCACAGCCATAGCCTTACATTTACTCCATCCAAAACAGTTACAGTGGGAAGACACAATCAGTACAACTGCATTTTGACCAAGATGTGGGGATCTATATGGGCACAAAATTTTCCCAGGACCTCTACTGTCAGTCTAAAAGCCTGTCGAGTTTGGGTATGCTAACGCTGCACCAGAACCCCAGCTCAGTCGTGACTAAGTAGATCCCGTGTCACCTCGTGAGTCACCCTACCATCCCTTGCATCATGGGTTTCCTTGGAATCCCCTCTGTAAGCCCTGCTGAAGCCTGGCCCTGTTTTGCCTGTCAGATTTACCAGGATGAGAGTCAGAAGTGGCATGCTGTAATCAGCTGCGTGGTGATTTTGTTTTCTTAGGGGCTCTCCCTCCAGTGCAGCCCTACCAAAAGCCCTTTGTCTGAGGAGCAAAGCAAGGAGCACAAAAGCGTTTGCATTTACTTGTGGAAGAGCTACTCCAGCAACTCCTCTCAACTCCCTGAAGTCAGCCTCGGTACAGTTATTTGGCCTGAGTTCATCTGAGCTAAATGGGCTGACTTGGCTCAAATACATTGCACAACCAAATGATAAAACTGGGGGTTGGGGGGAATGAGTAGTGATGACACATGTACTTAACACTGCATGTCTCCTCTTTCCAGATCAGGAGGAGCTGGCAAGCTTCAGTCTGTACACATGCCAGCAGCGGATGTCGGCACATATACAACACTTTTCAGAACAACATACTGTTGAAACATGTAGTTCAACTCAAAGGCACCCCTTCTGTTCTGCGAGCCCAAAACAACTCTGAGGATTGTCTTGCTTAATATGGTAGGATTTGTAGCATGGCTTTTAATGCTGCTTTAATCTGGTTGCTTTAAAAGCCCCCTTCAGAAGTGCAGAGATGGAGGCAGCAGCAGCCATGCTGTACTTCCACAAAACCCACATGTACATTTGAACAAGGAGAGGCGATGGAGCTGTTGGCAGGAGAGAAATGGCAAAGATAAGGGGGATGGCTTACATGGTGCGGGAATACAAGGCTGCCCTTAGCATCCACCTTTCCTTCACTCTTCTTTCACTTTTCAGTTTGAAGTACAGAGAAGTACGGAGTTAGCAGGCTTGCCCTGGCTTGCTGAGAGTGTGTCTAAAAAGTCATTGGTAATGATTTGAAATAAATGACATTCACAAAATAAATAAAAATGTCCTCTAACTTTTAAATGAAACGATCAGCTTTCATTAACAGCACAATTCAGAGCTGTAAATGTGCTCAGTTTTTTCTTCCTCTCAATGATTTAGGTGGGAACATTCATAAATTCAGAATTTCCTATCTAGTTCCATGTTCTTTTCCCTGCTTCATTTTTGCCATGGACCTGAAATGGTGCTGGCAGAACTGCATCATAAGTGGTCTGTGTGTCTCAAATGATATGGGTGGCTCTTAGACCACTGGAATCATTTTCCTTTGGCTTCTGATCTGGCCAGCCTATCTCATCACCCTCATCCTGATAATTTCCTTTTAGTCTCACATCCTACCAGCTGTTTCCATTTCTTTCACCCTTTCTATAACTCAGGCTTTGGAAAGGGGGTGATCAATCTGCAGAGAACCAGGGTGGGTTTCCTGCCGTGTGACTCAAATGGACGTTTGCGTGAGGCAGGAGACTGCCAAGGCCTCCAGCTCTGTTCTGCAGGAGTTTGATGTGCAAATGCGGGGATCACAGAAAGAGCTGCAGCCAAGGTTGTCGTAATCATCCCATACCCTTTCCCCTTTTCCCAGCAGCACCAGTCCCTGCTGGTACCTCTTTCTCAATGAAACAGTCCGCACTTTGGGTCTTGCTCCTCTCTCTTCAGCACCCAGAGACAGCATTTCTCTATTCAGATGTCCCAGATTCTGACAACTCAAGCCAGACTAGCAGGTCACTCTCTGCCACTCAGTTCAGCAGTTCATTGCTGCAGCCCAGCCTGTTGTCAGCGATAATCCACAGTTAGGTCCATCTAACCCATTCTTTGGAAATGATTCTGGTTAGTGCCCTCAGAACAACAGGGCTGTCTTCTATAAATGGGCCCACTGAGATGGAAGTGGGCTGAGGGAATGTCTATGCATGAAATTACTCTGCCCTGTCTTCAGTGGAAGATGTACAAGAAGGGAAGAAGTAGGTGATTGGAGGCTGCCTCTGCATGAGAGCCTCCTAACGAAGATCAGTTGCAGCTGGGATGGCATCCCCACCCGGTGCCGAAGCCCAAAGGACAATATTTGGATTTCTCCTGTACTTTGTTCCATCCCATGTACAAACAAGAATCCCAGGACAAAGTGTACCTCGCGTGGATTGTCACAAGCCAGCAATGTACAGCGAGGGGCGACTTCGATGGGTGTGGAATGTAAAGGACATTGTTGGAGGAAAGAAAAGGAAAGTGGCACTTTCTACTGGTGAAAATAAAGCTTTATCGTCCCAAAAATCAACATGCTTTTCCCTATGGTTTACAGAAAAGCGGTTGTGGAAGCAATGAGCATGATTCTGCAAATCCATCTTCATAGATCCTTTTAATTTAGAGAGATGACTCAGTGGAGCTGGGGCTGCTTGGATGGTTGTATGACCACAGGATGCAGCTCAGGAAAAGTGTTTTTGTAAACAAATAAACACGCTCCTTCCTGTGTGAAACTCAAATCTTTCAGCATTGGGCAAGTGCCTGAGAACCGAGCAGTGAAAGTAATGAGGAATATTAAGCACGATGCCAGCTGGTTGATCCAGATCTGAAAGCACAAGGTGAACAAAACAGAGTGAAAAACAGGTGAGTCTTCAAAGTCCTTTAAGAATCTGAACTGTCGCTTGTATCAGAAGCAAAGAAAGGACTTTTTAAGTGAAAACTGCCCAAAGAGACCATCTCACATCCTGACAATATTGAAACAGGGGATTTTCTAACAGGGAAAACCAAAAACTATGCTAGTGAGATTTGACAGTGTTCTGTGCCACGTTGTGCTGTGCATGCAGGGAGGTATCCGAAGATCACAGCCACCAAGCTGGATTTCAGAGGTTGGCATTTTACATCCAATAAAGCCTTTTTAGAAAGCTTACCCTCTCTCACTCGGATTTCCCAGAGATGCAGGATGCTGCAGGGCCTCCCAAGGGTGAAAAGGGGATCTGCAGTCCCAACAGCCGGAAATGCTTCCAGAAAAGCAAGTACACACTGGGGAAAAACCTAAATATCATGACTTCAAGAAGTCAATGTTTTGTTGGTATTTTTAAAACAATCTTTCGGCAGCTGCCAGTGAAGGCTGCTCAGATCAAGGCATGAAGTCAAACAAGTACTTAGGATCGTGCAGGATTAAGATAAGTGAAACAAGCAGGAAAATGTATGAGTGACTGCCTTTCCCCTTTTTCTATCACAGACCTACAAGTAGAGGGGCTCCAGATTGGAGCCCTGCTGCACCCAGCACTGTGACAAGGGGTGGCAAAGTGGAAGGAAGGCAGCACGGTTTTGTGCTGTCTTCGCTGGGTCGAGTTGTTTCAATTGCAAACGATAAATCTATTTTACCCATTAGAGCTTGTCTAGACTAAGGAAATATTCCTGCTATGACTACGCCAAGGTAATTATACCAGTGTAAACCCCTTTGGGCAAAACAGAGCTTTTAGTGGCCTGATTTACGCTGGTCACTTGCCAGGATTAGTTCAGCTGGTAGCAGCCCGTCCTCCAGGAGCTCCCTGCCGGAACACAAGCGGGAGCTTTTCCATCTCATCAGAAAAATCCACGCTGCCAATCTATCAATCAGGCCGTCCTTGCGGGGCACCCGTGCATGAGTTTCTCAGAGAGAATGGTAAATATTTAGGAGGTTCCTCTGTTAGTGCAGAACTGATTAGTTGGCTATGAAAAACAGGCTGAGAAATCTGTTCTTGAATCAAAGCATCGTTTGAAGCATGTAGACACGTATCGGGAAATGTATCGGCTCCGGATGCAATGAGATAGGAAAGCAGATGGGGATGATCAGCCTGCCAGTGGTAGATGTGGTCCTTGCACTAAATAGGCATGTAGGAGAGGATGAAGTGCATCCAGAGAGAGTAATCCAAACTGCTCCTATTAAATGAATGAAAACCTGAGAAAGCAAATAAGCTAAATTAAATAAATCTGAGTGCTTGCGTCTGAAGCCCCTTTTAAGGAGCAGAGAGTGAAATTCCACTCCCAGTGGAGCCAGCAGCACCATCTACATTGGCTTTGGAGGAGGCTTCATTCAATGGAATGCACATGGTGAAGCCACACAATGTCCATCTGTGTGCTGATAAGTGCAGGACAGGGAACAGACAGACTGACAGACAAACAGACTGGGCCATAGGTGTGTGCAGATCACAGTTATCCATAGGTGTCACAATTAATATATTTCTGAAAGGTTATTATACACCTTTAGTTCTGCACACTTACAGGAAAGACAGAAGCTCTACGAGTGAGAACAAATATCCTCCCTTGTTTTAAATGTCTCCTTATTAAAAAAGCAAAGAGTGTGTGTCTGAGGCACAGAGGTGACATCAGAAAAGTTCCTCAGTTCACAGATGGCTGCACCTTTCAGAAAAAAATTAAAATAGGAACCCTAGATTGATTTAATCACCCATACAAGCGAAAAAACGTAATGAAGATACTTAGTGCCAAATTGGTTTCTTGGGACCTTTTCCATGTAAATAATACAACTCAAACCTTGAAGTTCACTGCAGATAGGATCTGACAAGCGAGCCAGGCTTTCTGTTTTCCTTTGATCCAGCTCCAGAAATATTTTATCCAAGGTAAAGTTGTTTTTAAGTGTTTTCCATTTCAATTTTGGATATTCACTGTATAGGAAACTCGCTCAGAACGCTTAAAACACCTTCTGGCTGAACTGACTCACCCAACCTGGAGGTTCCCTCGTGTTTGCTTCCAGCACAGAAGGAGCTCCCGATGTGATGTGGGACCACCCATAGCTCACACTGCTGTGATAATGGGACAGTGGTGTGGACACCAAAGCTGGGGATTCCTAATGCCACATCAGCCTGACTTGGGTGTATTTCACCCCATTCCACAGCTGAACAATGCTGTTGAAAACACAGTGGTGGGCAGGCCCTTGTTTCCAGAGCGATGCCCCCAGTTCCCCACTCTCTCTGGGTGATGTCTGTGTCTTCTCATGGAAAAAAGCCCCATGCATTGGGCATGTGCTGATTTTTTTAGTGTTTTACTTTTATTTTCACTTTAGTTATAACCCCAGGATGACGATTCCATGGTTCAGAAAACTGCACGCGTTTTAAAAAAAATAAAATAAAACCCATAAAAAGTTGTTCTAAAATTTCCATGGCTGTGTGTCTAAACAGGGATTTGGACACCTTGCTGGAGGCATCCCGCTTGGAAAAATGCAGCTCCTGTGAATAATGTCAAATCCTCCGCATTCCCTTCCTTCCCCAAACTGGCATGCAGCACATTTAGGATGAACTGGGCCCCTTTTCTCTTTTCCTTCGAATGTGTGGCGTAAGGTTAATGAAAATAAGACAGATCTTTTATTTTGCGTCTTAAATATAACATTATTAAACGTGCCCACCAGAAATGTAGGATAAAATATTTGCTCTGCTTGAAGATTATGTGATATTTGTATTCTGAGCCTCACCACAGTGGGTTTCTTTAAATAGAAGCTATACTTTACTCCTAAATTGCTTAAGGCAAAGGAAGCAGAGATGATGTTTTTATGAATGTTTAAATGCAAATGGAACCGAGAGTGAATGCTATGCTAGCTAACATCAAAGGCTCACCAAAGTCTCTGCATTAATGAGGCTCTTTGTTTCCTGGATCACAGATTACAACAGGTTTCCAACTCATTGCCAAGGCTTTATCTCCGTTTGGGAGGGCTGTAAATCTCAGACGATTTTTTTCACATGCAAAACAAGAGGATCATCTGAAAAGGAAAAAAAAAAAAAATTAAAAAATCTGAAAGCAGCAAATATTTCATTCAAATCATTCTCGCTCCGAGTGGCTGCAGAGTATTTCTTTTTATTTAGTGTTGTTTAAAAGGATGGAAATCCACAGATGGAGTTTCCTATGGGGTGGGGGAGCAGAGATGCACGCTGTGCCCCCCCCCCATCCCATCTCCTTCAGCCCCCGAAATAAGAGGAGTGTGCAAGAGCAGCAATTAGCAGAAAGAAGGATTTTGCTTCATTTAAATACATTCAGCACTTCTCAAAGTGGCTCCGACTAGTTCTTCTCCTCCCCCCAAAGTAATGAGATTATATCCATAGTAATAATACCCTAATTAACAAGAAAAATAGGGACCGAGATTTTTAGCTTCCTATTCAAGGGCTGAATGCGACAATATGTAGTATATTGGGTCATAAAAAACAATTTACATGGCGTCATTACAGTCTGTAGAAAAGTCTCCAGGACCCAGGGCTATCTTATGCAATCTTAATTAAGGAAAATAAATATCGGTGTGTTTTTTCAAGCTACCGGAGACATGCACAGGACCTGTCGTACGCGATCAGAGGAGATGGGGAGTTTCCTTTTCCATGGGAACTGCTTCAGAAAAAAATCTGACGCCGACACAGAAGTGTCTGCTGCCTTCACATTGGCTGCAAAGATGTTCATTTCGGGTTGCCCGACCCTTGGGGCCACTCAGAGCTGAGCATTTTCTGCAACCCAACATCGCAGCCGGGTCTGTGGGCTGCACAGTGCACGGCAGGGTGTGTGTGTGCACCCACATGTGCACTGCCTGCATGGAGGTGCCACTGCTGCGTGTGCACACGTGTGCGCCTTCAGATGTGTGCAAAGACTTCTGCCCTCTGATCTGTGCTGGAACATTTGTGAGCAGCTGTGAGTGTGCAGTGCTCGTGCGGGGCTGTGCATGCTGCTGTGTGCAGCTGTGCCTTGGTTGGTGCTGCTGTGTGCAGTGGTGTGTGTGGGTGTGCAAGTGTTGATGTGTGTCAGGAGTGTGCAGTGGGTGCTGACGGTGAGCCAGGAGTTGGATGCAATGATCCATGTGGGTCTCTTCCAACTCAGGAAATTCCATGAGTCTGTGTGTGTGTATTGGTGTGTGTGGGCATACACACATCTATAGTGTGAGCAGCACAGGAGTAGTGTGATGGTGCACATGTACAGGCTGTGTGCACATAGAAGAGTGCACACACAGCTAGGTGTGTGTACACAGGTGCATATGCTGCTGTATGTGCAGAACCATGCATGCAGATGTGTGTGCAGGAGTGTGTACACACTAGCACCTACATACACATACAGTTTGCTGTGCTGTACCATGCCATGCCATGCCATACCACACCGTCCCATATCATACCGTGCCGTGCTGTGCCAGAGCTGGGTACAAAGATGTGTGTGCAGATGCGTGTGAGCAGATAAGTGTATGCTCACAAGTGTGCAAGCACTCGTGTGTGAACAGGTGTGTGTGTGCAAATGCATGTGTGTGTACGTGTGCACTGATGTGTGAGCAGAGGTAAGCATAAGTGCACAGATGTGCACACGGGTGTGCATGTAAATGAACTTACACAGCTTCACTGTGCCTCTAGCCATGCCAAGTGGTGCCATGCAATGCTGTGCTGTGTCATGTCGTGGCCATGCTACCCCACGCAATGCTGTGCTGTACAATGCCATGCAATGCAGTGTGTGTTGTGCTGTACCATGCAATGCCATGCAATGCAACACCATGCTGTACTATACAATGCCATGCTCTGCCGTACTATGTCATGCAATGCAACGCTGGTCTGTACCATGCCATGCTATGCAATGCAATGCCATGCTGTATCATGCAATCCTTTGCCATGCAGTGCCATGCCATGCAGTACCACGACATGCGATGCAACACCATGCCGTACCATGCAATGCCATGCTGTGCTGTACCGTGCCATACAATGCCATGCCATGCTTTATCATGCAAAGCCACGCTGTGCTGCACCATGCCATGCAACGCAACACCGTGCTGCACCATGCAATGCCATATCGCGCTGTACCATGCACTGCCATGCCATGCTGTACCATGCAATGCAATGCTGTACCATGCAATGCAATGCTGTAGCATGCGATGCCAGCCATGCTGTACCATGCAATGCCATGCTGTAGCATGCAATGCCATGCTGTAGCATGCAATGCCAGCCATGTGGTACCATGCACTGCCATGCCATGCGGTACCATGCAATGCCATGCTGTACCATGCAATGCCAGCCATGCGGTACCACGCACTGCCATGCCATGCTGTACTATGCAATGCTATGCAGCGCCACATCACAGCCCCGCACCCCAGCAGCACCGCACACCCCTCTCTCCCCCCGCTGCCCCTTTAAGGCAAACACCCCCCTCCGACCGCGCGCGCGGGCTGCACGCTCGGCTGTGCGCGCGCGGGTTCGTGTGCGCGCGGGTGTGTGCGTGTGCGCGCCCGCCCCCGGCCCCTCCCCGGCGCTGCCAATCACCCGGCGGCCGCTTTGATGTCGGCAGCCCTTGGCCGCCGCGCCGCCGCGCTCGCACACAGGCACCGGGCGCTCCGTGCCTCTGGCTGCCGCCGGCGCCCGCTGCTCCCAGAGAAACTTTGCGGGGCTCGGGCCGGGGGGCGGCACCGGGGGGGGGGGTGCAGCGCCGAGCGCGGCATCCCGCGACGGCTGCCCGGCTGCAGGCTGCAGAGCCCCCCGCCAGCTGCCGGGAGGGAAGGAGGGAGAGGGGGGAGGAAAAGATTTAAGAAAGGAAATTTTTGTGTTGTTATTTTTTTTTTTAGGGAGATTCGAAAGGGAATTTAGGAGAACGGGGTAGCATTTATAGGGAAAAAAAAAAAAAAAGTTTGTTAGAATTTCGAGAGGGGAAAAAAAAAAAAAAGTTTAGAAAGAAAAATTTAGAGGGAGCGAAGTCTTTTTTTCCGAAAGCAAAATAATTGAAGGAGAGGAGGAGGAAAAAAAAAACCAACAAAACAAAACGCAAGCAACCTACGCGCGGACGGACGCGAGGAGGAATCGCGGTGAGAACAAAACTGCGGGGAAGTTTTGCGCGGCGGGAGCGACATGCCGCAACTGGGCAGCGGCGGAGGGGACGACCTGGGGGCCACCGACGAGATGCTGGCCTTCAAGGACGAGGGCGAGCAGGAGGAGAAGATCCCCGAGAACGCCTTCACCGAGCGCGATCTGGCCGATCTCAAGTCCTCGCTGGTGAACGAGTCCGAGGGCAGCGGCAGCCCCGCCGCCGCCGCGGACCCCGAGGTGAGGCGGCCGCCCCGCACGGCCCCCCCCCCCCCCCCCCCCCCCCCCCCCCCCCCCCCCCCCCCCGTCAACCCCGCTCTGCCCTTCTCTCTCTCTCCTCCCATCCAGGCCATCCGCCGCGTGCAGGATCCGCAGAGGGTTTATCAGGAGAAGCTCCCGGACCACATGGAAGATGGTTAGTGGCGGCGATCTTCGTGGCTGTTCCTCTCTCCTTCCCGGCCCCCTCCAGCCCCGCTCCCAGCCCGGTAGAGCTGGGGCTCCCCCAGGACCCTCACACCCTTACAATGCGCTCCTTTGGGATTACAGAGCCGAAAGGCTCACAAATACACCATCACCTCTTCCGTCCCCCCCCGAAAGGCAGAGCAGCCACCTGTCGTAAGGCAGATCGTGATGGGGAACTCTGATTTTAGCAGGTATGAAGCACCAGGACCCAGGGATGTATAAAGGATCTGCGTACTCTGGCTACCCCTTCCTCATGCTCTCAGACCCCTATCTGCCAAACGGATCTATGTCACCTCTGGTGAGTGCATCCTTTCCTTACTGAGACCTTTGGTGGCCTCTCAGCGCCCAGCTGTGCTGCAGGTACCATGTGGGCACCTACTGTGCTTTTTTCTGACAAATTGTGTCTAAAATGCCCAGTGCTGTTCCATGGAAGGGGGAGTGATGCTCAGCAGCGAGCGCTGCTGCTCCCCAAATTACTGGAGGAGCTTCTTCACAGACCCCGTTCTCTAGGCTTGCCTTTGTGCTGCCAGCAAGCAGATCCTCAGCTTTAATGTGGAAATGCCCCTTTCATTATCTGGGTCTGGAGGTGAGCAGCTGCTGGTGTTGGGGTCCAGAGCTGTGTCCCGTGGCTCAGCTTCAGTTTGATGTATCTGCTCATGAGATGGCCAGCCTGGGGCCTGCTGCCAGTTGGGGCTCAGCTGTGGGTGCTGACCCGGAAAGAGGATCTTAAACTTAAATCTTAAACTCTGAAATGGCAATGGAGGTTTTTCAGTCTCGTGCAGCTGGATGGCTGTTCCAGTCTTCCCATAAAGTTCTTCCCTCTCGTGTCAAATCACCTTTAGCATCTCTGTATCATTTAATGCTTACAAAAAGTTTTGCTATATGTATAATTGAACTAAACACTTCTGTACAAGAGCTGTCTTTGCTCATTGCCATTTCCACCAGAACTTTAGAATTTCCCGATGCTGCAGCACATGGAGGCTGTGCTCATGTCGTTTCAGGGGAGCCAGCATTGCTGCATTCATTTCAGGTGTTATTCCATATTTACAATAGGCTGATGAGAACAGAACATCATTCAGTGTATTTTAGTTTTTAAGCTATGAAAGAATGAGGCTCAAAAGAATCTAGAATGCCCTCCTCAATGTAAGCACTTGGTTTGCTAAGAGAGGTAAAGGTTTCAAGCTGGCGTTGTGAGAAATAGATGGATCGTGGCATGGGAAATGAAGTGGGATAAAATGCTGCTCGTGGCAATCAGTGCCCTGTCCTCCCACCCCAGCCTGCTCACTGGTCAGGCAGGAGGAGGCTGGTCCTGACGGTAGCTGTACCCCTGCATTGCCCCGCTGACACAGGAGGTGCAGCTCCTGCTGAGATCAGGGGCACTTTGGGGGATCTCTACATCTTGGAGTCGCCTTCAGCTTAGAGCAAGGAAAGGTGTTGGCAAGACACGGCCTCGCCGCTCTCAGAGCAAGCAGCTCTTCTGTTGTTTCCCATCTTGTGTCCCTTCTTCTGGGATCCAGGTGTTCCCTCCACCCCTCTGAAATACAAAGCTGCTCTACTGATGAATTGTAATTGATGATACGAAATTTGTCTCATTGAAACGCATTTAGTTTGCTCTCTGTTCAAGTTTAAAGTTGCATTAATCTATTCATTGTAGCAGGATATTTCTTTTAATCTTAAACCCTTACGAGATGGGCAACAAAGTGCAATGGCCTATTTATTAGCAATTAAGCTGAAAAATAGATTGTGGTTTGTGAATTGCCTTTCCCCTTGAGAGTGTAAAAAAAAACCCAGGAGGTTATTGTTGGAGCAACAGATAGATGTGAATAGGCTGCGGGAACTCAGGGAGGAGAAAACTGAGCAGCAGAGAGGGAATGATTCCCTGAGAGCCACCGAAATCACCTGCGGCCTTTGTGAGCGTTGGTTGGGTCTGCTGGGATTCTACAGTGTTTCATACGTTGCTTAAAAAGCCAATTCAGTGTTTTGTGCTAAAAACGGAGATTAGGGGGAGAAATCTTCCCCTTTCTCAAGGCTGGTCATTCCTTTGGTTTTCGGTGTTGGCACAGTAATTCTTCCAGTATATATTTCCGAGCCGTTTTTTCTTGTGTTGATGTTGATGGTGTACATCTTATCATCACCATAGTGTATTGCTCTCGTACGTATTGCTGCTGTGTGCATTGCGAGCTGCGATCTGGCGACCGCTTCAGTAATTGAGGAGGTCAGATCTGTGACCAGAGATCTCAGATATTAACCCTCCACAGAAGTGCATTTAATTAATGTTCTAGCGTGAGTTGGAGGGAAGGTTGTGTGAGTGGATGGGATTATGGATTGCAGTCATGCATGCGTTTGATGGTTGGTATTTTTGGTTAATGGGGCTTCCTGGAAACAGTTGTTTGCTGTTAGGATTAATTTCAGAGTCCTGAAAAACAAAGAATGAAAAACGTGAACCCAGGTGTGTGCTCTTGCACGATACTGAGGTTTTGCACTTAGCTACTTGACAAACACCATGCAGAAGGGCAGAGGGCACTCAGCCCTGAGGCTGCAGGCTGAGCCCCTGCCCTGCCCCGTACCAGTAAGCCCCATTATTGCTGCAGTGCTCGGGGTGCTGTGAGTGGTGCTGGAGCTGCCCCAAAGCGCTGCTGGCATCGCTGCAGTGCTGCTGGCTGTTCTGTAGTTTTAGTTGCTTGGTAGCATCAGTTTGGTTTTGTTTTGCTCAGGTTGGCCCTGCCCTGGTGATGCTCACCCGGCATCCTTCTGGGCTCCCTCCATCTCAACCCAAACTGTATCTTCTATCAAAACAAACCCACTGGTGTTATTTACACGTGCTGCTCCTGAGTGATGTGCTGAGCATGTCTGGGTACCTGACATCAGCAGCAACGCGGAGCCAGCTGATGTGCTGGGCCCCCACCTAGTGCAGGATGTGGCCAGAGCCAGCCTGCTGCAGCATCCAGCTTGGCAGGCAGCGGGCTGCCAACGCAGGCTGCTTTATAGGGCAGCTCAGCCAGATGGGCACCATTCTGAGCATGCACAGGTATCCATCAGTGGCTGCAGAGATGGCAAAGAGAGAAGGGAGGGCAGCAGGACGGCTGGGAATGCTGGAATTGGGCACAGGGCAGCCAGAGCTCAGGTTTCCAGTGTTCTGGGAGCATCAATAGCCATTGGCTGCTCTGGGCATAATGGGTCAGGAGCATCTCAGCATAGACTGCAGACACATCTGAAATCTTGATGTTTTTCAAGGCACCAGGAGAACTGCTTCTCACTTGGCTCTCAGCTGTCACGCGTGTGGCACGAGTCTGCTTTTGCTCTCCTGACACTTGGAAAAAGTTCGGTGTTTCCCAGGGCAGAATACATGGGATTTTCGGGTTAGAAATCTGCAAGAAACTTCCAAAGAATATTAACGCATCGAGGAACTGTTTTTCTAAATGAAATACGAAATCATAAAACTATATCCTTTTTTAAATAGTACAAATGACTTTAAATCAAATTAAGGTACATCCTTAGTAAGAACATCAGCCTTTTAGGTGGTTACAAACATTAGAGGTCAGACATGGTCAAACATGTTAACACTTTGATCAGATTAAAATATTTTTCTTGCTACAGTTGTATAATTGAGTTGAGACCCGAGGGGGTTTTCTGAGCATTGTTACATCTTGTACCATGTGGTAGTTAAATGTTAGAAGGAGCATTTATAAGTTCCTTCTGTGCATAGGTTTGTGAAGCAGGGGCTGCATGGCCCCATCCTGTGCCAGGGGTTGGGCTCTGCTCAGTGCACTGCCTTGGTTGTGGGGGGTTCTGTCCTCCCACTCTCACTGCATCCCTCCTGTGTTCAGGCACCGGTGAGGTGTGGGCTGGCGGGATGTAAATGTTCTGTGTAGGAAGCTGAGGCACTGGGCTACGTCCTGTTCTTGTGGGAGAAACACAGGGCCAAGAGTCTCTATTTCTTTGGAAAATCATTTTCTTAGCTATTAAGCTCTCTAAGTGGAGCTCATGTAGGAGCAAAAGGGTGGCGGTACCTTCTAAATCTCTGCACGCTTACAGCCCTCCCATGAGACAGCTGGCCTAGGAAGTAATGCAGATGTTCCCGAGATCTGCCCAGCTCCTCAAGTTTGGTTTCCATTCAGTGGGTTTGAAATGTCCCCTTGGGCAGGGCAAGATCAAAGTGCAGCTACTGCTGGCCCGGGGCCACAGGTCCCAAATGTGTATCATGAGGTCAAAAAGCACAGAGCTGAAAGTCTCCTTCAGTGGTTAGAAGGAGAGGATTGGTCCCGGGGCAAAGCTTTAATGCTGCCCTATGCTGGACAGGAGCTGAAGGAGCATGAACTGAGCTCTGGGACTGGCTGCTGCTGTTGCTGCTGCTGCTGTAGCCCCTTCCCCAGGTCTGCTCCATCCTTTGGAGGGAGGCTGTTGTCCTCTTAGCATTTCATGAAAGAAATCTGCAGCTCAGCTGCTTCTTTATAGAGGTCTCCCTATCCTGGCTTGCACTGTCGGAGCAATGGTTTAATGTTCTTTTTTCCTATGTGATGTTCTGATTCTGTTGAAACGAATGGCGAAAGTCCCCAGTTTCCCCTCAGTTGGGGTTTGTCCCTGTGAGGGGCTGATGCATCCCTCTCCAGGTGTGGTGCCCCAGTTGGCAGAGGCTGGCAGCAGCAACTCTGTGCAGAACCAGCGGTACAAGAGCAACACCAGCACCAGGCAGGCTTCCTGGTAGCAGGACTTGTGCTATGGGACCTCCCCATGACAGTGCCCTGTCCCCGTGAATGGTTATGTTCCTGACAGAGAACAGGAGTGCAGCGACTGATGAAGGATGGGTCTTTTAGCAGACAGACACATGAATAAATAAAAAAGCAAATCCACTTTTTCCAGCTCTTCTAGCTCGCTTGAGACAGGATAATGGTGAAAATAATATTTTATATTAAAGCATGCTGTTGGATAGGTGGATGTACTGAGGTGCAGGGCTTCCGAGGTCATTTATTGCATGTCTGATTCAGTCTTGGTTCCCCCCAAGGAAAATTCTTGCGTTAATTTCTGAGTTCATATCACACCCTCAATTTTGAAGCAGAACTTCCCTTTGAAATAAATTAGAGAGCTCTGCTTAAGAAGCAGCGACATGATACAGCGCTGCGTGTGTGTGGTCTAATATAACCTTATTTTTAAAGTTGTTTGGAACGAAAAAAAGAGAGAGAAAAATGTCACAGGGAAACAAAAGCGAGTTTTATGTAAATCCTTGCCTGTGAATAACTCTGCACGTGATTTAGATGGCCCAACAGTATCTGCTCTCCCCCTGGCATTCCTTCACAGGAG